ACACACACACACACACACACACACACACACACACACACACACACACTCTCAATCCATTTCCATTCGAATGAGATGTCTCTTTTCTTTTTCCAATCAAAGTAATTTGTGGTGTGTTTTCTCTGTGTGTTCATCTCTTCCTCTCTATGCAAACTCTTCTATCACTCATTTGAATGATGCAATTAGGAATTATTTGAAAAGACACATCCAAAGCCAAGCATTCATAAACAATCATACATCAAAAGTCACCAGAAAGAATTGAACAATTACCGTGTATGTCTTTTTTTGTAATATCGCCCTTTGTTTGACAGAAACAACAACAAAAAAAAATCAATGCACGTCCTCTCTTCTTTAAACTGACTGTATTTTGATGTTTGCTATTTTGCGTCAACTTTTTTTTGTCCGCACTTGACTACTTTTTTATTTGCTGATTTATACACAGATATACATATTTTGTTTTTTTGTTTTTAAATCTACGTGCATTCACATTCTTTAGACCTCACATCACTCGCTATCTCTCTTGCACGCGTACACTTTATTGACAAATCGGTGCTGTTCTTTTTTATTCGTCTTGTTTAGGTGAAGGTGTATTCCACTGCACTGATCATTTAATTGAATTTTGCTTCCATATTCCTGATACTTTTTTTGGTCCGAAACTTTTAGCTCTTGTCGTCAAGCGTTAGATGTTCGTTGTTGTTATTGTTATTTTGACTTGACCGCGGTTAATGCTGTATCGTTCGGTTTGGATAAAGGCAAAAATTGGAATGTTTTTACTTTTGATTGAACCACACCGTATACACACACACTCTCTCTCTTCCTCCTTCGTTCATTCGTTCGCTCGTTCGGTCTCTTGCTCTTTCCTACTCCGTAACTTCCTGTACAACAGTTTTGAAATGCACAAGTGAAAAATTCGTTTGCGTTTTTTTTTCTGTTGTTGTTCAACACCCAATGAACTTTCTCATAAAACACAAAAAAATATACACATTGAAATGTTTGTTGCACTGTCGGTTTCTCCAAATTGCAATCGATTCAATGAAAATGGATTTTTGAAGTGAGATCGTTCCGTATTAATAATTGCATTTAATAAACTAATAATATGCCGAACAGAATTCTTTCTTCTTCTCGTCCACTCTTTAGCTGGCTATCGTTCACATAACAAAAACAAAACTAAAATTGCAGTCACTCATATGTAACAAATATTTCGTGCGGCTGCTAATTGGTTGCTTGGCCTTTTGATAAACAATTTTTTTTCTCTCTACGGTTCGTATTTTGAGTTCGGTTATTGTTTTATTCAAGTGTTGTTTGCAAACAATACAACATAAAATCGAAAACAATTTTGCACTCACACGTTTAATATTTCTATTTTAAATTTGACGATAAAATAAATGTATAATATTTGTACGGAATATTCGAAACATAAATTTACACAAAAAAATTGGGTTATATTATGAAGCGACACACACAAAATCACCAAACCTAAAGCAGATTGATGACGCCATTTTGAATTTGAATGTTGGTGCGTTTCATAGATCTGTACAATGTATGTGAGCATGTGTTTGTGTTTCGTTCTTCTGGTATTCCATTTATAGTATGCCGTGGATATACAACAGTGCTTCAAATCGAATATATTCCTTTTGTTGTTGTTCATATGTATAATACACACAATGCAATACAAAACGTCCGATTGTCGGCGTTGCGTTGTGTATGTAGAAATGTCGAGACGCCTTATGTATGTGTATGGGTGTTGAACCGATTTGGAAATTCAATTGACCAAACACCAACACCATCATACACCTGATTTGACTACGATGATGACGGCAACGGAAAGCATTGTGTTTGCCGTGTGTACGAAAGAAATTTCATCGAATCCAACATGCACACACAGTCATCGTTGTCGCTGCTGCCGTCGTCGTCTCTGTTACTGATTTTACTGCTGCTGCCGCCGCTATTGTCAATTCACAAACAAACACACTATACAAGTGCAGAGTGTGGTTCAACATATTCATACACGCAGACAGGGCTCGGTTCAACTATGATTTACCATTCTCCGGCCTGAAACACTCCTGTATTGTATTGACCGTGAATATATGTGTGCCGTTCTTCTTCCATATTCTTTTTTTTCTCGTCTTCTGTTTATTTCTTCTCTCTTTGGATTATAGAATGGATATGTGTATACACTTGTGGGCGACGGCACCGTAAAATTCAATCCGTATGACGATTTTTCCATATAAAAACGTATATTCGTGTGTGGATTGAGAATTGAAAGAGAATGAGATAGTGATGTGTCGGTGATTTTCATCGAATTTACCACTCGCATGTGTGTATTTATATCTCGCTTCATATATCCTATCCCTCTGTTATTTTATTTCTCCTTTGTGGCAGCCTTTCTATGTGGTGGTTTTTGGGTGCGTACACTCATGTGTATTGGTGTGTTGGCATTCGATTTAACCATTGTTTTTGCATGAAACGATACAACCAAAACATCATCCATTCTAATATTTTCGGTAATTGAATGGGTTCCTTTTCGTTTCTTGTTCTTTGGAACGATTCGATCTAATGAAAATTAACATGGAAAATATTTTATGGAAATTTATGATCAATTTTAAATTTAAAAATCTTAATAACTTTCAATGAAATATAGATTTTAAAAAAATCGGCTGTGATTTATTTTGTCGAAAATATTGTGCAATGCTCGGTAATACGGTAATAATATTATGATAAATCTGCATTACCATATTTGTCGACAACGTTTGAATGCTTTGCGAGCTTTTCAGTTGAGACAGCAACCATGTTTCTAGTACTTCAAATTGTGTGACTATGCGCCTGAAACTTTGGTCGTTGTCTTGACTCTTGGCTTGGCTTCGGTTGTTTTTTGAATTGAAAAGCCGTTGTAAATGGAGTGTGTTTAACGCTTTTATTTTCTGGTAAGACAATCGCATTGGTTTCAGTTTCAAACATGCATAGATGGAAGCATCAGTCCGACAATAATAACAGCTGCACCATTTCATTTAAGTTCAATATTCGGTATTGTACGTTGTATAAAACATTCACCTCTCATCGATCGATCAATTAGTAAGTCGAATTGAATTTGCCAAATTAATAACTACACCCATTCAAATATAGCAGTAATCATGTAGTATATGAGTTTCGACAGTGAGTTTGTCACGTGTCACTGTTTTAACCATGATGTTGATTTTCGCATCGATTCGTACTCTTTTTTTTAACGTATGGAAATGACCATTCGTTGAATACTGTTTTTTTTTGTCGTCGGTGCATGGGTAGCCCTGAAAATGGCAACAATGAAATTAACAATAAATATGTGTGACTAGGTCTTTAGATGCTAAATGCTTGAAATGCGATTTTTTGGCGACATCGCGAAATAAGCCCAATTTTTGTTGGGTGCTATTGCTTGTTGTTGGTGTTGAATGGTTGTTGACCTCGAAATGATGCGTACTTAATTTGAGAACAAAATGTTGTTTTCGTTCACCCAATTTTCACTTTTTTTTTCTCGTTAAAACTTCCTTCCTCTATATATGTTATTGCATGCGCTAGGAAGAAGAGACAATAATACAACATTTTGGGAGCGATAATAATAATCGACGATTTCAATGTCACTTCGAGATTTGTTATTTCATAAACGCCAATCAAGTTCACGTGCAAAACAACTAACGGACACTCTCATCATTTGTTTTCTGTGTTCGTATTGTGCTGTTTTGTGATCGTTATTTTTACATTGATTTTGAATTCGTCTACGGCATTGACTATAGTTTCGAATGAATAATAAGAAAACAACAAGTAGTTGTATTTTTATCGCTCAAAGTTTAAATGGCAACGAATTGAAAATGCGGTATGATACGTCAATGATGTCTGCTTTAAAAAAAAAACAAACATCACTAACATCATTTTATTCTGAACCAAGTCATCAGAACCGCTTATTTTCATTACGTAAAAAGCTGAAAAATCGCTAAAATATGCAAAGATAAAATTTGTGTTTAGAAGCTATATAGAACAAAAACGCTAGAAAGAAGAAAAATATTTGAAGAATTAAAAGACCATATGTTTTTCATTTATAATTCAGATATTTCATCTGTTTGTTATTTTCTTTACTGTTTTATCATTCTCAATTATATCTTACAATTTATAATATCACATACTTAAAAACTATTTAAAGCTTTTTCTCTCTGTTCAATTTAACAATTTCAATGTTTTCATATTATTTTCATTTTTTGTATTTTCTTTCTAATTAATTATTACGAGATCAATATTATTATGTGTTTTTTTTATCTTCTTGATTTAAAATGAATGAAAATGTTTAACTCTTAATAGCTAATGGAAGAATCAATGTGTGATTTTTTTTTATCTCTCATTATTCGAATAGGCTGATTCATTTCCATGGTTGCCAGCATTCTTTTTGTGCTACTTTGAGGAGACCTTGATGAATATTTGTGGTGTAGTCATTTGGTCTTGGTGAGGGTGATGTGCTGTTTGATGATCGTGATGATGATGGTGTCAATGGCATTGCATATTGGCTTTCGCTGCAGGGTGATGATGCTGGCGAATAGATTGTTTGACCAACATGAATTGATAACGGTTGCACTTTATCGAGATCGTTGATGCGATGTCCCAAATGTGACATAATACGTTTGCCCAATGATACATCAACATTTGGTGTGCTGGCCAAAACGCGTGATACTTCATTGGCGGCTTGTGTGAAACCGGCACGGAAACGATCGGCTTCGATGACTGGACTGGCGGCCAAACGTTGTTGACGCTTCAATTTATGCAAATGACGAACGGTCAATTCGAGGATGTCGGCCTTTTCCAATTTCGATACATTTTCACCTTCGGCTTGCAATGCGGTCACCATTAATTCTTTTAATTCATCCAAACAACGATTGATGCGTGCACGACGTTTTCGCTCCAACATTGGTTTCATCACTTTGCGATATTGGTAGGTGCGCGATAGTGGTTCAAGCGATGCCAAATTGCCCGCTTTTTGTCCTTTAACGATGACACTTTGTTGTTGAACTGCTGTTGCGTAAACCATTTTGATGTAATTTAATTTTTTTTCTTCTCTTTTCGAAACAAAAACTTTTTCGCCAGAAAAAAAAAATACTTCAGAAAATTCGCTGAATATCGACACTTTTCACTTTATTTGTTTACGTTTTATTATTGATTGACGTAAAACTTTGTGGCAACGTTTACTTTTATTTGCTTGTTATCACCAAAAAAAAAACCAGAAAAAAAAACTTCTTTTTATTGTTGCTAAGACTCAAATCGAGAACGAAAAAATTCCAAAGTCAAACAAAATATATTGCTGTTGTTGAAACAAATTTATATTTTTTCGTTTCTTCGTTTAATGTTTACTGAACGAGAGCTGAACTCAGAATAAGTTAACCATCGCTGTACGACCCGCTTTTATACCAAGTCCGTGGTATTCACAACTCGTGGGAAACTACTGCAGAGTATATTTCCCACACGAGTCGGCCACCTGTGATTTTGCCGTTGCAGCTGCCGTTTTATATATGTACATAAAGTATACGTACGTTTGAAGTGAGTGAGAGACGATACAAACGACGACAGCAGCAACAGCAGCAGCAACAACGATAGGTTCAGTGTGTGCGCTCTCGTATGAACAGAGAATGTGTGTATGGAATGGCATAATACATGCAAACACGTATGCGCTCGTTTCTTCTTCTCTTCATCAATTTTTGTTATTTTTTTTCTTCTTCTTTTTCATTTCACTCTGTGTTCTATAGGGTCTTTCTTTGCTCATAGAGTCTCTCCCATGATCGCATGCTACCACATTTGCGTGTTCGGAATGCGAACAAAGTGTGCGCAACGAAAAGGAAAGAAGAAATATACTAAGAAATCGTTCGTAGAGTATATGTACGAGAAAGAGGGATCGTTACGATTTGAACATTAAGAAAAGAACGTTTGAATCAAGAAAAGAATACACATATTCAATGCAATGGCATGATGATTGCTTTCATTTGAACCGAGTGAACATTTTTTTTTTTTCATTTTTCGCGTTCATTCTTTTGCTTTATTGTATTTCTTGCATCGTTTGTGTTTTTTTTATTCTCTTCCTTTTATTTCATTCAATCTGATGCTTTTCTACTATAGCAAGAGTTCTAGAGTGTAGTGCATTTTGTCGCTCAGCATTTGATTGTATGGCTCTTTGGCTATGAATCGAACTTGACAACATTATATAACACAACATGCATATAAATTGTGTAAAAAAGGGAACTTTGATTGTTTTTTAGTTCTCATCTTCCTCTCATCATCATCATCGTCGCCTTCCTTATCTCTCCGTATGTTTTTTTTTTGCTTCACATTTTTTTATATCGCACTCGCCGCGCACAATTTTTTATCATTTCTCTCCCTTCAATTTTCATTTTGTTATAATTATTTTCTGAACGTCCCAATGCTCAATACACCGCTATATTATCTAATAAATATGATTCTAGTTACCGTATTAAGGCACCGATTTTAATGAAAACTGTAAAAAATTGTCCAAAAAATGTCCGACGTATTGAATGAAAACAGAAATGAATTTTCCGATTTTTTTTTTTTTTTTGGTTTTAAAGTTGCTAATTTGACGCAGTTTTTCTTTTGTCAAACTTAACGTTTTTTGGGCAAATTTTAAACGTAAATACTTTTGTTCATTGAAAAACGTTATGCATATGTTATTGTAGCATCGATTGCGCTGGCATGATTTAAGAAATGACGATATTATCAATGATGCATTTTTGCATTTATTTTGCTGCATGAAAGCTGCAGCTTTATTTATCAATAGATAGATCTGATACCATCTGAGCGTACACCGCTTTGAATCTATTGAGATTGTAATTACGATGTGTTAGCTAACCGTGCTAGTTGAACAGTTGTTTACTTGGTTGATGTCGCGCACAAGTCATCGTAATTAGAACGCATCTATTTCGCATTGCATACCAATCGAATGGCATGCGTAGTCTACTTTTAGTGATTGCATCGACCGTAAATCATCAATGAAGCTAGCGCCCCATGATTTTTTCTCTTGTTCTTATCCATTCCGATCGAAATGTTTTCTGTACGCATAATTATCTAAATTACCTGGGATAGAAGTTCAAGAAGAACGACGACGAAGAAGAAGAAGTTCGTTTTGATGATGTGATTAATCATTGTCGATTAGGACACCATATTCTTTTCTATGCGATGCTGTTATGATTTTTTCTTAATCTTTCATATTCTCTTTTGTGCATTGGCATTTCATTTTGTTAGACCGAAGTAGTGCATATGTAAAACGGAAACAATAACAAAAAAAAACACACACACATATATATATATAATTTTCAAGCAAGCGATTTAAATGTCCCCTTTGCGCACACGAATCGCTCGAGTGAGTAGCGCGCGAACGTTCATCGGCGCACACACCAATCGATTCATTCTTTTCTTTTTATCCACCATTTTCCAATTCACAACGAATAGACGAAAACAACGAATGAAACACAGTACATAGTAGAAAAGTGCTATGATCGAGACGTGGATGATGACGACGACGGATATTAATTCGTTCTCATGCCTCAGAACGATGCATGGGAATGTAGCAGCGTGCTCAGCACACTCGTGTCTCTCTACACACCATTTATGATATTGTTAAGTAAATTCGAATGAAATGCGAAAAAAACCATAGAATGAACATACACTCAATGAATGCACAACAAACGATCGAGCGCGCGCGCTTACTCTCTCTCTCTCTCTCTCTCTCTCTCTCTGACTCGTTCAAACAGAGGCCAATATTTTTTTATTGTATTATGGCAATGAAGTCGCGTCTATGCACGCTCTCATAACACTTTTCGTAATTGCTATTTATACAAAGAAATTTTTGTTACTGCAACTCATACTGACTACTCGACTGTTTGTCGCGGCCAGAGGAAATGGACGGCGTTTTAAACTACAGCTCATACATCAGCACGATGAATAACAGACCAATTTTTTTTTCGCTGAATTATGCAAATAGTTTTTTAAACACCGGTTATTCCTTTCGATGACACATTTTGAATGTTTGGTTTGTCAATGAAATTTTTCAATATGTTAATATTGTCATGGAAGTAGATTTGTCACACTAACCGGGAAAGAAGTGAAATTAAGCAATTTCGGCATACATCAGATCGCCATGAACTCAAGTTTTATTCATAAATTTTTTTTATTTCGGAAACAAATGATGAAGAAACTCATTTATTTGAAGATCAAATGATTCAGTTTAAACACAAAATCGCATATTTAAATGTGTCGACGCACTTTTCAAAGAAATTATGCATTTTTTGTTTGGCTTTTCCTTCTCTGGGAAAGTGTGGTTTAAAATTCACCGGAAAAAGAATGAATAACCAAAATGCCCGAAATTCATTTCTCACAACCTAAATCTAATTCTATTAAATCATATTAACGTTAAACAACACTGAATATTAAACTTTATATGAGATAGTTTAAATTTGTTAGAGTAACTGGCCGTTAATCATGTCGAAATAAAAAAAAAACAGGAACGTTTTCAATTGTATACTATTATTTGTTGTGTTGAGTTTGTAATGGACGCGAGAAAAAAATGAAGTTTGTTTCATGTTTACAAAAATCCGTTGATGAATTGTTGTTGGTGTACGGCTTCGACCTTCTTTTATGTGGCCATACACCATATTGAATGGCCAAAGTGTGTTTTTTTCGGTTTTTCTCATCACCTCTGCGATCTCATTTACATGTTTATATTTCTATTCTGAGGATTTGAAGAAGATGAAAGAAAAAACAGACAAACGAGCATTCAATTCTTTTCCATTCATGGGTTTGGTTGAACGAGCGCAATTACTCAGCCATATCCCAGAGCATTATATGGCCAAGTTCAATAATTCAATTACTGTTCTTGTGCATTGAAAGAGCGAGACATGCACACACACAGAGAGAGAGAGAGAGACAGAGCGCGCGCACTGTAAACAATCTATAGATCAGATAGTTTGGTTCATACGCGTCTCGGCTTGAAATTATGCATCACAAACCAAAACAAATATACACGATGCCATAAGTCGACGCAATAGTTTCGAAAAAGCTAATATTTTTCAAAAGGCTAAAGCAGTTAATTTGTTGTTGTGGTATGTTTTGCGCAGTATTTCATATAACAATAATAATATATGAGGTGAGGTACTATTGTGAGTTTAGCGCTTATTCACCGCGCTTCGATGTTGGTTCTTTTGGCTATTATGTGCCTTTTTGTGTGTTTCTTTTTTTCTTCTGCTCTTCAAATTTGTATTTTGTTTTTTTTTTCGGTTTTGTTATATGGACGCGAGTTATCGCGGTTCATTAACAGTGCATACATAAGAAATAAAGAAGAAGATGAACGCAGAAAGAAAGAGAAAAAGAAACACTGCTGTGAACACGATTCATAATTTGTTGACTGTTTTGTTTGATATGTGTGTATGGATCTTTTCTGTGTTGCGCTCGTTCAATCTGTTTGGCGTTGAATTTGCGCCCGAGACGAAAACAAAGCTCGTTGGGTTTCAGTGTAAAAGTGACATTTGCTAATCTCCAAATTTAAAACCAACATTTGTTCTTTTTTTATAATCGAACAATTTGTCATTTTGTAGAATATTCTTAGACTTTAAACTTATTCAGGTGTAGAAGCCATTGAAAGAGCGTTTTTTAAGCCATTGAAAGAGAGAGAGAAAGAGAGAGATCTAGTTTTGATTTGTCACTCTTTAAACAAATCAATTTGGATCAATGGCACGATATTTAGCATCTCATTAGATCAATCATTCATGCTGATGGTTCAATTTGAACGACGAATTCAGTTGCTTTATTAGCATAACAATAATGATAGAGTGTGCGCTCGCATGCCAAACTGAACCTGTCACTGACCAAAACCAATTCCATCGAAAGAGAAAAACAAACACACATACACGTTTACACCGAAGAAAAAAAAAACATAAGTGGTCAATGTCAGCGGCGGCAATCAACTCGTGATCTATGTCAATAAATGTGCATGGTCAAATATCGCGCAAATATATTTATGGCGCACAAACACTTTCGTTCTTTCATTTATGCCGGTGTTTTTCAAAGATCAAAAACATCATCAACTTAATAAATAAAAACCCATTCAAAACATACACACACAGCAATTCCAAGCCAATTTGTGATGATCAATGCGGCAAATACATGAAGCGCACCGCAATAAAAACTGACGGCATTTTTATTGTTATTCCTGAACGAAATTTAAAACAAAAAACTTTATCGCGCATTTGATTGAATCTACCTGGAAAGATATGAAGCATTTACACGAATGTCAAAGATCTCTCGAAAATGATGTCGTCGAATGAAATTGAAACACCTCAAATGAGGTGTGATTTTGAACTGAGCTCAATTCATC